GCAAACAGTTTGCTGAAGACAACCTGTCAAAGAGCATGAATTACTGGAACCATGTCCTGTGGTCTGATGAGACTAAGATAAACTTGTTTGGCTCAGATGGTGTCAAGCATGTGTGGCGACGCCCTGGTGAGGAGTAACAAGGAAATTGTGTCTTGCCTACAGTCAAGCATGGTGGTGGTAGCATCATGGTCTGGGGCTGCATGAGTGCTGCTGGTACTGGAGAGCTGCGGTTCATTGAGGGAAACATGGATTCCAACATGTACTGTGATATTCTGTAGCAGAACATATTGCCCTCCCTTCAGAAACTGGGGAACTGCAGATGCAAATTAGCTTTATAGCTAACTCTGGCACAACACTGTTGTTGTGCGTTGTCCCTGTACAAATAAATTGAATTTAAAAAAAAAAGATAACAATGGTGCTCACACAAAATATTGACACTTTGGACTCAGTTTTGACATATTCACTTAGGGTGTGTACTCACTTTTGTTGCCAGTTATTTAGACAACAATGGCTGTATGTTGAGTTTTTTTTAGAGGACAGTAAATCTGTACTGCTATACAAGCTGCACATTGACTAGTCTAAAGTATATCCAATTTTCATTTCTATAGTATTGTCCCTTGACAACATATAATAAAATGGTTGCTGAAATGTGAGGGGTGTACTCACTTTTGGGAGATACTGTATATACACCATTCACAAGTTTGGGGTCATTGAGATTTTATTTTTTAATAAAATGTTTATTACTCACTTTTTATGCATTAAACTATTCAAAAGTGTGACCAAAAATACATTTATAGTGTTAGAAAAGATTTATATTCTTTAAATAGGTGTTGTTGTTTTGAACTTTATATTCACAAAAATATTAAGCAGCAGAACTGTTTTCAACATTGATAATAATATGAAATGTTTCTTGTGCAGCAAATCAGACACTCAGACACTGACCAAGTATTTTGTTATCAGTGTATTTTTCGGGTGCCGTAACTGGATAAAAAATATTTTTTTACAAATACACAAATACAATGTAGTCTCTCAGTTGAATGGGTGGCCATAAAGGATGTATACATAATTATACAAAGAAAAAAAAATTGTTTATAGTAGTTTTGGACGCTGCTGTCACTGCTTGATATATCATGTCAAGTAGCCAAATAACATGTTGTGCGAATACAGTAGGACATTTGTCGTGGCTGCTGATGACAATCAGGTGACTGGAGTCCTGGAGAAGCGTGTGCAGTCACTATATTGTGTGTTTGCTCTCTCAGGACATGGTAAACCGGAGGATCTCGATGGATATGATGCTGAAGGTAGCTGCCAGTCAGCGCTACAAACAGTTTATTTTCCTCACGCCGCAGAGCATGAGGTAAAGAGCTTCCCTGGTGTTCATGTAAAAATGTGCAGACGTAGTTAGATTAGAAGACATGATTGTGTTAATTGCCTTATTCTTATCATTTATAACGCTAACGTTTTAAATTGATAGTAAAAGTGTAGTGTTCTGCTTTCCTTTTCCCAGTTCTCTGCCTGTCAACAGCCTAATCCGTATCCTCCGTCTGAAAGACCCTGACCGTAGCCAGTCTGCTCTACCTTTCGGTCAGAAGAACCCAGAATGATGCTGTTGTCCAATGAACATCATCTTATGTGTGTGAGGCAAAAGTCAAAGCAGGCAAAGTACTTGCAGCTGACAGCTGCACTTTACAGCTCTCTGTTGCACATATGTTTACAGGTTATTTAAATGTATATTAATTTAGTTATTTAAAACCAAATTTTGCAGGTCTAGTTTTGTTCTGCACTTTAAATCTTTCTAAAAGAATAGTTTTAGGTTTATAAATTTGAACGTGATTCCAATGTTATGTGCATTTATACTTGGTTGAATAAACCTGTTGAATAAGTCATTTAAAAGCCGCTTATAGC